CTTAAATTTGGGAATAATGATAATAACCATGGGTGCGAACCTTACTACTTTGAAAACATACCGGTGTGGAGCTTCAACTGAGATTCTTTAGACCCCCCGCCGACCAGACCACTTTCGGAGGATCATTAGAATCAGAGGGGGTGCGAGGGCGAATATACCACGCTCAGATTTACGTTACAACGACACAACCCCAGAAAGGCACGAGGTGATAATGATATTCGTCGATGGAGTTGGTGCAGGTGTTGGATTGGTTCCACGCGAAGTCATCAACTTTTCGAGAGTCATCTGCGGCAGAAATAAGATGGAGGATTGGTCATTCAGGCGTTCCAAGATGTTTTTGTTTCCGCACCCAATTTTATTATACTTTCTCATTTTCTTTTTGTTCGTTAACCATTTCTGATGTCTTCGTCGTGTCTTTTTATCAGGGCTGTGGATGCTGGGCGAGGGTTTAGAGACCTCGCATAAGGTATATTTATATGGGCTTTACAAATCTTGTTTGTTACTTTGTTAGCACATTCGTGTTGTACCCCATATGGGTTAATTTCTGATTTGTCTTGTCTCTTGTGCAGATCTGGCGGCGCTTTCATCTGCTGCGCGCACTCTCGGCCTCTTCGCCGCTAGTTCATTTGTCTTGTCAACTCTGTTGTCCTGTCGTTGTGCCTGTATCGGTGAATAAGTATGATCTTTTCGATCTTAATGGTTTATCCATTATTGTATGGCTTTTGTTTAATTTGGTAATTTATTTATCTATCTTGGAATGTATGATGGATTTGTGTGCTTAATTAATGGAAGGTGATCTTTGTTTTAATATATTTGGGCTCCTTTTAATACTATCTATTTCCAGCTTCCAGTTTCAATGATATAGTACATAGTCTTACTTGTGGTTGGTATACGAAGTGACGTAATATATTCTTTTTTTGTGTGAAAAAGTTGTATTTTCTTTTCTTGTTTTGGGGTTCCTTTTCCCATACAGAAAAGACACTTGTGATGTGCTAAGCCACGTTCGTCTCTGCTAGTCTGCTGTACACGTAGAAGAAGAGATAAAAATGTTAAAAGATAAAGGAGAATAGAAATTGTAGAAGGCGTGAACTGAACATCATGAAGTACCGGGAAGAGCAACTGAGAACTCGAGACTGTCAAAGTTGATCTAGTTTCTAGCCAGCGCCTTACCATCTTCGCATCTATCCATCATCTTTCTGCCGCAGTGGCTCCCTTTTTTTTTCTATTCATTTTTTCTCCCTCGGTCTGATGTTGTTTTTTTTCTTTTTCTTTTTTTCCCTAGAAATTGTTTGGATGGAAAGGAGCCTTTTATTTATTATTAATTTTTTTCCCTCCTTTAGTTTCCAATAATTTTGTTTTTTGAAAGAAATTGTTGAGATGGAAGGCGGCCATTGCGACAGAAGGACGAGGGTAAAGAGCGGAAGATGGAAGGCGTTTTGGTGTGCTGAAGCTAGATTGACTTTGGTGTTGGTTCTCTTCTTTTCTTTCATTATTTTATCGGTTATCATACATGATTCTAACGTTTACAGGTATTTTTATCGATTTGTTTATATCATCTTTTTTTTTTTTCTTTTTTTTTAGGTCTTGATATTTTTTCTCTTTAATTTTTAACATTAAAAATTATATATGTATATATTAAGATCAATTTTTAATTAGCTCTGATTTTTGATATAATTTGTACTAATGTTGTTTGTGAGTTTAATTTTTAGATTATACGATCATTATTTGCACCTTGATAATTCAGTATTCATCAAATTTTTAGAAGCTTTTGGAAATAAGTCCAAGGTTGGTTCAGTGAGCTTCAACAATACTATTTGGAGAGGAAAAGTTTTTCGCATTAAACAAAGCACCGCCAGAAATCATTTTAGGGGAAAAAATCTGACTCTTCTAGTATTGATTTTGCAGAACTCTTAGAAGCCGTATACATGGGAATGTGGTGTGCTTTTTTTCTTCTAAGTTTTACCTCAGTGGATATATCTATTAGTGTTGGCAAAGATCCCTTCTGGTGCTTCCTAGTTAGATCTCAAATTTAGAAGGTAGATTATTGCAATGGGTATCTCTCATGACTATTGCTTGGCAGGTGTTTGCCATTAGGTTACTGTAGTGTAGGACCAGACTGCCAGTTCTAATCTGCTAGATATTGTATATCTGTGTGATGTTCATCTTTTGGTCGATGTTGCTTTGTTACGTTTTGGTGCAACAGATCTTTGTCACTAACGATGCATTCACCGAGCCAGTTTTATCATCCGAATATTGTGTCACTTCGTTTGCACATGGGCACTAAAAGGTAAGTAATATAGTATGTGATGCTTGATCTATCTCTCTATCCATTTCACTTATTGTCTATAGATGTGAGACCTCAACGGACTGAATTACATCTACTGAAGAAATGCAAAATTTTCTGCCTAAAGTGCATATATGATAATTTGGGGACATTATGACTGACCTTTTCAATGCTTATTTTAAGTGAAGCTTTGAGGGGTTGTTGTTGTTAGGTTTGTTAACTGGTGGGTATCTGTCACGTCGATGTAGACACAGTAGTATAATGTTTGACCTTTAGTTAGTGCTTGCGTGTTTGTCTTCTAGCCATGGTTGAGAGAAGGGGCACTGTTGCTTGTTCTTGGTTATAATGACATGGTACTGTCATCGACATCATGCTTATAAGCCAGCCACTAAAGTTTGTATGTCTAATCTTCTTGAGTCTGTAATTTTGTAGGAGCTAGGATGTCTCTGGACTTTAAGAGTTGATATTGTTGCCATGACAAGAATTTGCATATCCTTACAGATAAAGCTTATTGACTGAATGTTTGATAATTTAATGTACCCTGGTGTTAATTATTAAGTCAACCAACTGTCTCTTGTTTCTAAGCCATTTCATCACTAGCTGGTGTCTGCATTCTACTGGAATATAGAGTATCAAGTCGGTCTGGATTATAGACTTCTATTGATGGAATTGGATGTTTTTTGTGCCAGATCAGAATAAAAGAACTAGAAATAAAATAGGGGCCTTGATTGTTGCAGGTCTAGCACATGGTTCAGCTGAGTCTTTTTCCATAGAATGGATGGAGCTTAAGATTTGATATGTTGATGTGGTATCACACCACTCTTCTAGTAGTAATAATAGTTAGTTTGCATATCATTCTATTCTGTGACAAGTGGTATTGTATTTTATCAAGATTCTCACATATCGCTTCAATGGGGAAAAATGATAGCGGCAAAAATAATTGGTTGTAGGTTGTGGCAGAAGATTAAGAGCTGGCTGTTAATTTGCTTAAACTGGATAAGCATTCTGTTTTCCACTAATTGATGCAGGTTCAGACCATTCAGTTTATTGGTGAGATCGAATGAACGAAAAAAAATGTGTGTTTTTATAGCATCAGCTTGTTTGATGTTTTCAACTTTCCTTGTGGCAAAATTTTAGGTGTACAGGCTTTCTATAAGCTAAGAGGCCTTTGACTTTTTGTGGATGTTCAAAGCTTCCCTCAGAGGTGGTTAACTAATTTTCTTCCGTGACTTACAGATTATGTGGATGTTGATCCTTATTACTTACAAATTATGGCCTTGATTTCTTTTCAAGCAAATGTAATGATCGTTTGCAATATAATCAGATCATGTTAATTTCTACCTCTTAATTGACATTTTGAATTTTTCTGATGCCGTGGAAGCAAGTTTTCACAAAAATGTCTTGAAGTTTTGATAATGAAATTGCAACTTAATAACTTCTATTGAGCTCAAAAACTCCAAGGATTTGCTCTCATCAGATTGTCTGCAGTTAACTTCTATTAGCACTCATGTCTTTCCCAGTATCACAGCCTCGTAAATTTGTGCTGGTATTTTTGTTTGGAAAGATACAGTGGTTCTTATATCTGGCGCGTAGGATGATTAACCTTGTTTCTTGCTCATTTTCAGGGGTATATCTCTCAAATTGATATTTCAAGTTTTACATTCATGCATGTATTTTATGTCATTGCCCTGTCCTTTTCATTTTTTTTTTTTTTTTACTTTATGCATTATCATGATGAATATGAAAATAAAAATAAATGATGTTTGTCTCTTTCCCTCGGTTGTTTTGTTTGATTTATTTATTTTTCTATTTAAATCTTTGCTGGAAGGGATGAAGAGGAAGCTTTCATGGAGCCAATGACTCACCATTTTTACAGAATCACAGTCCATCATATCTTTGGGGAAAGTTGATTGATTTTCCTAGAAATCATTCCCTGAGAAGGAAGCCATCAGACGGGTGAAGCTGACAACTTGAAGATGGAAAGCCATTCAAGCAGAGAAGAAACTCGGGCATGGTTGTACAATTCTAGTGTAGTGCTAAAAAAGTTATAACAGGACTCATTGGGGAATGAGATTGAGCTTACTAGATGAGTAGATGTTAACAAAGATTTAAGTTTTGAATGATAGATGTACCAAGTATTTCCAATGTTAATTTTGTTGGCTGATAGATGATCTTTTTCAAAATGCCATAATGCATCGATGATTCAAATGAGTAATGCCTCTCTTCAGGTTATACTAATAGTTTATCTGCAGTTGCTGGATCTTCATTTAATTTTGCATGTTTCATTCCTAGTTATTGGAGCAGATCCAGTTGTTACTATGAAGTTATCTAATCCTGGTTTCCAATTACAAGTTCTAAAACCAATCTTTCAGAGTGGCCAAAGTATAAATTTTACCCTTTAGTTAATCTCAAATGCATAAACGTCATGAATATTCCTGTAATTGCCATTCCTAAACCAATTTCTCAGTATCCAATTCCAATATCGTTCAATCGTCAGTGATTCATTGGTACTTGTGTTGACAAATTAATGCAGTAACTTGATACTCATCAGTTCTCATATTACATTTTTCCTATTTGTTTATTTAATCTTTTTTATTTTTACTCTTTTAAAATTAATTTAATATTTATATTTGTGATTTTGATTCTCCTCCAATATGAAGAAATAATACAAAACAAAACAAAAACCAATCCATATACGACACCGTTCTGGTTGTACCCTCACGTCCTTTCAGAAACCACCAAAAATTCACGCGCGGATAGCACGTGTTGTGCTTCGCTCCTCTCTCTCTCTCTCGGTCGCTTGCCATCATATTATCAGATCAGATTCATCACGGAAGAAGAAAGAAAAAGAAAATAAAAATAAAATGTCAGGTTCCACCATGGTGGGAGATGCAAGCTCATGGTCCAGCGCTCTCCTCAGGATATCACCTTACACCTTCTCCGCCATCGGAATCGCCATCTCCATCGGCGTCTCCGTTCTCGGCGCCGCCTGGTACCTTCTTCTTTCTCTTTTTCACCCTACTCGCTCAATTTTTAATGATGCATATTTTAATTTCTTTTTCTGTGAATTTTCTCTAGGGGGATTTATATAACTGGTAGTAGCTTGATCGGTGCTGCGATTAAGGCTCCACGTATCACGTCCAAAAATCTCATCAGGTATTTTAATTTTATTTGAACCCTAAATTTTTTAATATTTGGTCTCTTGAATGGTGAATGTTTATTTATTCTAGTTGATTATTTGTTTCGTATGCATGAAATAAGTTAAATCTTAGCTCTGATACTTTTAGGATCCATTGACAGTTTCAATAATTTGATCAATTGTGGATTTATTTTTGAATTACTAGAATAACTTGATATTGTTTCTGAATGCCATCATGTGTTGGGTAATTGCAGACAATTTCTTGGTTTTTATTATGATAAAACGAAAAAGTGTTTGGTGTGATTATGAAGTCTATATTATGCACATTAGTTGGATTCTCTTTTCTGCCTGTGCTTTGAATTGAATTTTTTAGGGCAATCGGGTTGGAATTGAAGTTGTTAATATGTGCGTCTTTTAAATGTGAAGGTAGTATCTAGAGTATACGTAGCGCAGCTCCGGTTGTGAAAAAAAAAAAAATTCATGTTACAGAATTTCTTATTTAGCAAACGATTTAAAGTCCTGGTCAGCCATTTTGATGAATAATAGGAAGTTGGTTGGGTACTCATGAAAGATTTTAGCACTCAAATATTTATGGTTAGCTTGAGGTGTATTTGTTATTGCAATTTGGGAATGTTCTCTAGGTTTTTGCCTGGCCTATATTTTTAAGTGTAGGTGAGAGAGTATTTTATGTCCTCATTGCAGTCTTAAGAAGATTTTTTGTGGTAAAAGTTTTTGATTGAATGATAAGGGAGAATGTGAAGTTTTGAGTTTATCTCTAGCTATTGTTTTATGATACTTTATCAAAGTATCTGTATTAACTTTATATTTATTGCCCACTCTTTTTCCTTTTAATTTACACCTTAGTAAACGGTGTTATTGTTATTGAACTCCCTTAATTTGTATATAAAAGTAATGTTGTTCTATCGACTATATTTAGTGAGAACTGATTCTGTATAACTGGGTTGCAATTACAAAGTATCGTCCAAATTAGTTTATTCCTGCAGCCTGCCCGAAATGTTGAGTTGTGAGGCAACTTGTCTGTTTGAAATTTTGTTTTTTGCATGCTCTTTATCAACGCAGTGTGACTGCAGATTATCTGTAATTGTTTTTTGGGTAAAGTTTCTCTGTGACAGAGTAACAGGATCTTGCATTTCAGTTTAACCTTGTCAAGTGTTCTCTTGCGATTGCTGATTATACATGTAGTAGGACTGTAACCCTGTGATGTGCTGAAGTTTTGATTTAGTTTTGTTTCTTGTGTTTTTCCAGTGTAATTTTTTGTGAAGCAGTTGCTATATATGGTGTTATTGTTGCAATTATTTTACAAACAAAGTTAGAAAGTGTTCCAGCTTCAAAAATATATGCACCAGAGTCACTTAGAGCTGGATACGCCATCTTTGCTTCTGGAATCATTGTTGGCTTTGCTAACCTTGTCTGCGGGTTTGTTCTCTTCATCTTTTGTCTTGCATCTTTCAGTGAAGTTCTACTAGTAAATTTTCTTTCTGTTTCGTGATACATAATGGTTTATGATGATTATTATTTTGCCAACAGGTTGTGTGTAGGAATAATTGGAAGCAGCTGTGCATTGTCTGATGCTCAAAACTCCTCACTTTTTGTGAAGATTCTAGTGATTGAGATCTTCGGCAGTGCCCTTGGGTTGTTTGGAGTAATTGTGGGAATAATTATGTCAGCTCAAGCATCATGGCCTTCAAAATGAGTCTAATTTCTTGTTTTGTTTGTATTGTGACAGTTGAACTATATGAGCGTGCACTCCATTTTGTGTACTTTCAAACAAAACTTTTTTATGTTGTTGCTTTATTGTTACTAGTAGGAATGTAAAAACCCGTGTGGGAATGCTATGTTCTTTGTTTTCTTGGTTTGTTTTATATGAATATTAGGTTTATAAATAAGAATTTCATACTCTGGCAAATCAAAAGTGGTACCCATCGGCTGCAACGAGCACTTGTACTATTTGATGATCTCATTAATTATATACATGAAGAGTATGAAGGTGGAGTTTGTTGGGTCTGAACTATATTCTGAGCCAATCGATGGAGTTTCAGAGGTGCTCCATAACCATTAACCTCCCGACCTGTATAAGTTACTGCTTTTGCACATGATAAGTCTCCCCCTATCATCTCGAATGAATTGAACCTTTTCCCAGTGGATATTACTCCTATAAGAATTTTTATGTTAAATCTTTTCGAAGATAAAGAAACAGATATTAAACTAATCAAGAGAGCTATGTTATTAATTACACAAGCAAACACCAGTAAAGCATCTCCTAGCCCTAGGTTTTATATCGAATAAATGAGATACTTGATGTGTTATTGAGATATTAAATGCTTTGTCGTGGCTGTAAAAATTTGCTAAAATCAACGCGGTGCATGATAATTGATAGATAACCCTCTCTCCACCACTAGTTGAGCAATGGGCTGCAGCAGCATCCAGGACAGAGCTCGAACCTTCCAGCTTGGGCTTGAATACAGTCCAGCCCAAATTTTGAAAAAAATGGGGTGTTGGTTTTAGTATTTTGGATATTATTTTTTATTTTTTAGAGTTCGGTGGAATAATGAGGTAGGATTTAAAAATTAATAAGAACACCTCCTAGGTTTGTTAAATAACTAAACACTCTTGTAATAAAAAACATTAAAATTACAAAAACACCCTCACCCATCCATTAAATTCTGACAGTCGGCCACCATCGCCGGAAAGTGGTCGGAGTCATCGTTTCGGAGTACGACCGCCTGAATCTGGCCAGTCGTGCGCTGAGATGGCATTTTTCAGCCAGATCCACAGTGGATCTAGACAAAAAAGGTCAAATCTAACCGTGTTTGATCGTTAACGACGACCATATCTTAGCCATCTTTAACCATGAATCTGGCCGAAAAATGATAGATCGGTACACTACCGGCCAGATCTAACCGGTAGTGTACTATTATACCAGATTTTGGCCACCTTCTAATGGTGGTGGCCGAAATTTGATAAATGTGGGTAAATGTGGGTGTTTTTGTCAATTTCTAAACTTTTTTCTAAGGGTGTTTAGTTAAACTAATAAACTTAAAGGGTTTAAAATATAGTTAAAGAAAATATAATAGTATTTTCAAAATAGGAAACAAACTGGTATTTTAGAAATAGTATGAATAGGATAGTTAAAAAAACAGACATGTTTAAAGTATCTAACCAAAAAGTCTAGAACACAAGGGTACACATCATCCGTAAGACCCTAGTGACATATTTAGTATGCATACATCTGTCTTGTGATATGATGGTGGTATTGTAGAATTTCTGAGAATACTATGACTCCAAATAAGAACCCAAATTCAAAATTTCTCTAGATATACCGTATACGTGTAAAATTATTTTCCTCAATCACATCAACTTTGAACAAGAATGGAAGATGAAAGTGAAATATTTTTTATTCATTATGAACAACAAAACTAAGTTGAGCATGAGTGGAAGGATTGATCACAGAAATTACTTATTCTTAATCAAACAGATAATTAAGTGATTCAGGAACATCGGCAAAGAAAGGCACATTCTTCTGTTGAAGGTCTTCACATTGCTCTGGAGTTGCAGTCATCGGATCAAAAGGCTCCCTACCAGCGAGAGTTAAGCCTTGTTTGATTCGACCCACTTTCCGGGAATGTAGGACTTGCATTGAAGTGATAGGTAGCCTTATAGATTGATATTCTTCAAGGGCCATTTGAAAATTGACTGCCTTCCATTTCTCCATGCATTTGCCTAATACTGCTGCGTCTAATATTGACATGTTTGTTCTTCTTCCACAGTGTGGAGTTGTGGGATGAGCAGCTTCTCCGATTAACACCACTCTGTCCCAAACAATTTGTTTCAAAGGATCACAATCATAAATAACATTAATGAAAGGGTCCTTCGTTTCTTTTATCACTCTTGCAAACTCAGGAATCCAAATCTTCTCTGCCTCCTGGTGCATTGCGCTTATCATGTCGCTGTTTACTTTAATAGTAACTGAACTTCCCTGAATTGTTGGTTGTGACATCATAGGACACATCAATTAATAACTTATAATTTAACGTAAATGGATACAGAGCTTAGAAATAAGATTTTGTACGTGGTTGGGTTAAAAGTAATGGTCACTAAAAACACTTCAATTGTACGTGGTTGTTGTGCAGCTAATATCATAAGTCTGTTGTCTAAGTAGCTGGCTACTTTTAGCAGTTTTATTAAGATTGAGATTGACCCAAGTTAAAGGATAGGTTTAGCGTTAACTAAGGGGAATCACCTTCAATTGGGGCTCAGGTTGATTGGTATACCAAATCCAATTGAGCCTCTCGTACATAAGCTCACAAAGAGTTGAGTGAGTTCCAGGAGCCAATTCCATGTATAAGCATCTTCCAAGATCAGGATACGCTTTCCGGAAGCCCATCATGGTATCCGAATTCTTTCCTGAATACTCAAGAACGCCCCTCCATGCACAGTATCCTGAATACCTGTCAAAGTACATAAAAAAGTAAAAAGAAACCCATAAAACGATGCATCTTAAACATAAAAAAATCATACAATAATGTTCCTGGAAACCTTAATTTGGTGTCAGGTAGAAAACTCTGTCGAATTGATGAGCGGGCCCCGTCTGCTGCAACCAGCAAATCTCCCTCTACTTCGATGATCTCATTCGTTTGAAGGTCTTTGGCCTTTACTTTAACACTTGTTTTGTCTTCAGAAATACAGAAAGAGATGTATTGGTGACCCCAATGAAATATTTCACGCGGCAAAGTATTGTATAGAAGAGCATGAAGATCAGTCCAATGTGCAACCCTAAAGTTCAAGTTTTCATCTCTTGTTAGTACCCAATTCACCTTCTTCTCCCCATCTGTTGCTCGGTTCTGTAAAAATATTAATTAAACACAAGTCGTACATAAGAACTTACCCATGCGTTAACACTTTTTAAGGGTTAATTCAAATAGAAAAAGTATGTAATAAATATACCTGATCAATTGGGAGAGGTAAGGTAACTTTGTAGAAGGGCTCAGGATGAGGGAGCCATGACTGAATTATTTTCTGAGACAACGTATCAAGTCCAAGTCCAGCACCAGTTGGACTTGCCGTTGTGGGTGCTCGCGATTTCTCAATCACAACAACATCCCAACCTGCACAACTAAGCGCTTTTGCGCATGAGATTCCTGCTATGCTTCCTCCCACTATGATTGCCTTAGCCTTCTGCTTCTTCATCCTCCCGATCTTCCTCTCCCATATAAACCCTCATTTGGAGCATGTATTTATACAAAAAGATTATCGAGATTACCGCTAAGTTTGACTTTTACCTATGGTAAACATTATCTCACAAACCTAATCGCACACTTGATAATCAGTTACTGATAAATGTCTCATACAAATTAAATGTGTTAACTAATAATAGGTTTATGATGAATTCATGAAATTCATAAGGTGACAACTGTTAACTGATTTTTTATTTATCAACTGTCACATTAAGTTTATTCTTAAACAATTTGTGAAATTAGTATTGACCAAAATTAATTAGTTGACTAAAAGCAGGAGATAGGTGTGATGTTTAAAGTTGTCATTATTTATGTGGACATAATTAAAAGAGTTTTAATTGAGGTAAGAAATTAAGCTTTCACTCGGGAAGAATACATTTTTGCCTTTTTAGATAGATGCAAAGTTCAGTAGGACTTTCGGTGAAATTATGAAGCTTGTTACTTGTCAGGTAGAATGGTAGATGAAACAGAATCCACATAAAACTGGACGTGAAGGAAGATGAGTGTACGATCCCTCCCTTGCACATGAGCGATCCGCAGTCCCCGATAGCCACTCAAATTGCTTTATGTCTCTTCTTTCATCATCTCTTTTCCTCTATTGGCCAACAAAAGCTGTCATATTTTCTGGCTGTTATTATGGTGAACATGACTATTCACTCCATTGCTCATTGCGCTCAAGCTCAGCAACAGAAAGCTTTCAGTTTCCCATTGCTCTCAGACACTAAATAACGAGCTAGATTTTGCACTTCTGTGAAATTATTAAGCTTTTTTTAGTAGAAAAATTTAATGAGTTGGTGGGTTGTTATAGTGTGTATATATATATGGTTGGGTTTTTAAAATCTCTAAATCCTTTTAATTTATACATTTGAAATTATGTTTAGGATTAAAAAATGTTTCGATATGATGTAAGATGATTTCAATCAATGGATGATAATGATCATCAAGAAGTAAGTTTTAACTATTTTTCAAATTTTATTTTCTTTGATCTTTTTGTCTATCTTTGTTGTTTACTTACAATAAAAGAATTTTGAAAAAGCCAAATATGAAACAAGTTCTCATAACCGTCTTCCTGCAGCAAAGGTTTTTCTCTACAGGTTTGAAGCATCATCCCACCTTCTTCTACCATTCTATTCTATCAGCAATGGAGGCACCCCAGTCCTGACAGGGTGGAGTGGTATTTGGATTAAAAAAAAAAAAAGTTTTAAATATATTTTATTGCAAAGACAAAACGATCTTAATTTAATGTGATATCAGAATCTAAACTTTGTGATACACATGCTAGTACAATCTATTACGTTACTCAATAAAATCCAAGGAAATCCAGCTGTAAGACTAGATGTGACAGGTTTTTGTGAAAAGGACGGACGACTTAGGCAAAACCTTGGGTGGGAAATTGTTGCTCTCCCTCGTGAAAAAAAGATGAAACGAACTTGCAACCGGCCTTCGAATACGATTGAAGGCTTCTTTTCATTAAATATCCATTTTAATAGTGTTATGCCTAAAAAAATCAGATTTGACATATTAGCAAAGACCAATCAGAGTTTAGAAAGATTTTATACAGTCTAACACCTGTACCATACACAAAACAGAAGAGGTAAGGCTATCGTCAATGTAACAAGTGAATGCTAGGCTTATAAGTGGCTGGACTTGTCCACTGCCCAAGCCCTACGCGATTTAAGGATGTCTCCCGCATAGATGACTAATAGGAAGCAGGTTGGAATGTATCACACCTATCCGACTGCAGAATCATGATTACTACGTAATCCCCCACCTATAAATAGATGATCTCTCTAATTTACGAGATGGCTCATCTTTAGTCTTCAAAAGCATACTCTCTCTCTCTCTCTCTCTCTCTCTCTCTCTATATATATTATATATATATATATATATATATATATATATTATTGTGTGTGTTGTGTGTGTGTGTGTGTGTGTGTGTGTGTGGTGTGGGTTGTGAGGTTGAACAAATGGCCAGGTTAGGCGGGTCAACCTAACCTGACCCACAATAAAGAGGGTTCAACCCGATCGCAAATAGGCAGGCCGGGTGTGATATATGGCAACCCGACAAACCGCGGGTTGCTATTTATTTTATTTTTTTTTGAGATAGACCCGCCAACCCGCTGGGTTGACCCGGGGGGTGGCTTAAAAAAAACAAAATTAATTTTTTTTTTCAAATTCCCCTTTTACCCTTGAAATATAGCCGTTTATAGTAGTTGGAGCGGTCTTTTTCGCATTTTCTTTTCCATTTTTTCTATAAATTAGCCAATAACTCTCATATCTCATAACTAAATTCTCTTCTCTCATTTTCTCTAATCTCTAATCTCTATTGAAATCTCTCAATTATTCTCTAATCTCTATTTTCTCTTTGTTATCAATTTACTCTTATTTTAATTTTATTAGTTTTGCAATTTTCAATTCTATTTCCAATTCTCCTTTTTAATTTTTTATTCTTCTACATCATTTTTTTTCAAATACAATGGAGATATATTTCTCTCCATCAATTTCAATGATGAAGGAAACTACTATCTAGTCTTAGTCCTGCTGAATTTACAACATAAATGCAAAGAGGATACAAATAGTACCCTTTCTAGTCTCAGAATCTGATACACCTCAAAATAAGCCCCTAATTCCTCCCCATGCTGCTACCTACAACTCCCATGGTTCTAGAAGTCGTCTCGTAATCATCATCCTCGTCCAACTTCATCTCAAGCTGAAGCGGGCATCAATACTATTCAAAAGCGAGATAGACCACATCAGACGCTTTGACGCATTTCGATAAGTTTACGAGGTAGAAAATGGAGTTCAAGTGAAGAAAGCAAGATGCAAGTATTGGGAATGTTTATAAGCTGATTCAAGTAATGGTGTACTTTAAAAAGGCATGCTGATAAACATATTGCTCAACATGGAAATAGAGAAAGTAATCAAACTCAAATAACTAATAGGGTACTCCTTGGCATTATAATTGATGTATATAGGGAACAATTAGCTTTATATATTGCTGCAAATGATCAACTTATTAATATGATGAAGATAAAATTTTGAAAGATTTATTAAAAATTCATTTTTCCAGGATTTAAAAGTTATTCTAAAACTGCAACTAGAAATGATTTAATAAAATTGTTTTGAAAATGAAATAGAATTAAAAAATAAAATACAAGTTGTCATATTAGTGTGGCTCTAACTGCCGATATTTGGAGTGGTAGAGCTAAACAAGATTATTTTGTGTAACTATCATTATTTTGATAACGAATGTAAATTAAATAAATCTTATTAAGATTTAGATTAATGGATGTAGATCATAGTGGTCAACAAATTTATAATAAAATTGTTGAAGTTTTAGAAGTTATGAGATTATTATAAAGTGATAAGTTTAACTTTGATAATGCAAGTTCTAATAGTAAAGCTAAGATTTTTTTTCAAATTAATATCCTTTATATAACAATTTGAAGTTTTTTCACATCGTTGTGCATGTCATGTTATTAATTAATTGTGAAAAGTGGTAAGAAAACGATTAAAGAAAAATATTGATAGAATTAGAAATCATTTAGCTTGGATTAGTAGTAATAAAGAAATGCTGAATTTCAAGATGCTTGTATAAAACCAATATGTCTCCTTAAACTTTTGCATTGACATGCGTTAGATGGAATAGTACTTATTTATGCTTGATTCATGTTACCTTATGCAAATATAATTAGTTATTTGTAGCAAATATGAGGTCCTCATTATTTGGTAGAAAATGATTGGCAATAGCTAAAATATTTCATTCTTTTCTTAAAATTTTTTACCAATCCACTTTACACATTTCTGGTGTATATTATCTATAGTCCATTGGTAACATACAAATTATAAAATTTAAGAGTTATTTATAAAAAACAAAAACAATGAAATTTTAAAGGTACCAATAAAGGCAATGGAATTTTTTAAAAAAAATATGGGAACCACTTCCTTTTTTTTTATTGTTAGGTGCTATATTTGATCCTAGAATTAAATTAAAGGTTTAGAAAATGGTTTTGACAATTTATGTGAAAATTTATAAACCGAAGCATACCAATCAAATAGGAGAGGTAAAAAATTCTCTTACAGATATATATTCCAATATGAAAACAGTATGGGAACCCGCAAAGAAGCGAAATACCAGAGAAGTTGCATCAAAAGAAACAAATGAAGACTTCTATCTTGGAATGCACTGAATAAGCTGAAGAGGACCCGAATCCGAAGCACAACCTCCTTCAGAAGCACCATCACACAACAATAAATATATACTGTCCTCCATGCAGTCAAAGAGTAATGAGTTTTATCAATATTTGGCAACCCCCAAATGTTACCAGCAGATCCAAACAGAGAGCCAACTTTGATGTCTTAGAATATTGGAAAGCCAGAAAAGTATTTTCGGTATTATCAAAACTTGCCTGTATGTTTTCGGTGTTCCTGTCTGAACCGTCTCATCCGAACAAACATTTAGTGCAAGTGGAAGAATTTAAATGAAAGGAGGACTAAACTTTCTCCAAAAATGATTGAAGTCCTCACATGTCTTCGAGATTGGGAACGGTCGCGCCTCAAGATCAATACGAGGTTGTCGACGATACTTTAATAGAATCATTCAATTTTGTAATGTAGATGATACAGATGAGGGAGGTCCTAATAACCACCAAATTATGTGTTTGTAAATTGTAACTTGTAAATTAATATCAATATTGCACTCTTTTTTCTTTACCAAGTTTTGTTCCATTGGGTTTTTTTTGGTGAGGTTTTTAACGAGACAACAATTGTCGTAATTTCTTATTTTATTTTTGATAAATGAATAAATCTATTTTTCATATTACAATTTATTGTATTAAAATTGATATAATATTTGAAATGTAACAACAAAAAAATTTAATTTAATTTATTGATATTTGAAAAGTTAACTAAAAAGAATTACATTTATTCATTTATAAATTGTTAATTATTCATTTGAAAAGTTAACTAAACAAACAAAACAATTAAATTAAATTAAAAAAAGAAAAAGGGGCAACCGGCCG